GTTTTTCTTGGAACTACCTTGGTTTGGTCACTTTATGTTCAGCTAGTGTGAGGTACAGAGGCCTCTCGGTCATTTTTGTCAAGTTTTTTTGATTTTTACCCTTGTGGGGATTTTCGAGTGTGCCTCAAAAATTACTGCAGCATCCTATCTTACCTTTTGTTTTTTTGGACGGTGCTACGGTTTACCGGTGACGGGATTTTCACCTCAAAAAGCTGACGTGGGTCAACCAAGCAGCCCGCCTTTTTTTATTGAGCACCCCATTCCATCCAGGGGAAGAAATAATATTAATCACCTGAGGATTCGTAGAAAACCCTGAGTTAGCAGGGTTTTTTTTTCGTCGGAGCCGAAGAGTTTTTTTTGTCTGGACCGAAGAAGTTTTTTTGTCTGGGCCGAAGAAGTTTTTCTTCTGTGTTGAAGACTTCTCTCTGAGCCAGTTTTTTGTTGGAGCAGTTTTTTTCGCTGTATCCATTTTACTTTTCTGGAGGAGTTGACAGTCGACGGTTGACAGTTGACAGCCGACGGTGTCTACCCAAGATTGATTTGATTTAGAAGATTTTCAACTATTTGGTATCGTACAATTCAATTTTTATTTTTTTCCCTATCTTACGATTTGAATTTCATTGGTGCGTACGAATACTGAACGTAGATAATTTTTTAACATTATAATTTAATTAGAATAAATTTTCACATACTTAATTCTGTTGATAAAATAATATTTCACTTTTTTTTCCTTTAATTTTTTTTTTGTAAATTTAATACAGCTGACACAGTTTCTTTTTGTCTCTATTTAAAATTTAAATCTATTCATTTTTTTTATCGATATCTAAATTTCTTGAACTGATGAATTCATAATTATTAGTTGATTATTTTATTTATTTAATAATTATATTATTAATTATTATTATTAGTGAATTGGTTTAGTATTATTTATTTGATTTATTAATTTGTTGATTAATTTGATATATTAGCTGAATTTAGTTGCGCTGATATATACATATATATTTTATTTTGTAAATCTTACGTGATCACGAAAGGTACCTAGGTATTTACGTAATTTTGCTACTTGCGTATTGTGAGATATATTTTTCTTGGTGCACAATTTTTTTATTGATTTATTTAATTTACTATTTGCTATTTGGTATTTTCTATTTACTGTTTCCTATATTTTCCTTTTATATTTCAATAGAGGGTACTGAAACTAATCAGTTTGCATTATTTTTTTTTTATTTCCTTTGGCCCTATGTCTACATAATTCTCTAAGATCTTGACTTTTTTTGTTTATTTATTTACTTTTTTTTTATTTATGTATTTGTGGAACTTGTAAGGCCCTAAATACACCTTGGGGGATTTCTGACTTTTTTTTCCGTCTAAAGTCAGTGGCGCTCTTAACCCGCCCCTACTCTCCGAATTTTCTGAGCTAGGGCATAAATTTGTTCGCGACTAGACCCCTGCAAATTCCATAAATATTTATTTTTCTTAATCGCTAACTTAATAATATTTTTTTTCTTCTTCGTATTTTTTTTACTTCTTTTCTAATTTTTTTTTTCTTTTTTTTTAATTTAAAAGAGCCGAGCTAAGGCCAAAACGCGTGACATAACTTTCAAACGAGTCGATTAAGTGAAAATTCATATCAGACCTTTTTTGGAGACCGTTCAATTCCCTACAAGAGTGTGTATTGATTTTTGCAAAACGCTGATTTGTTAAAACGCAAGGAAATTCCGCAAAAAAATTGTTTCCCCATATTATTTAAATGGGAAATAGAAAATCGCGATGACACTACGACACACTAAGTTAATGAATTCCGAAAAAAAATGTCCAAAACAACCTCTTAATAATAACATTAAAAGCTCAAATTTTTCCAGAATTGTTTTTTCATTATCATGGACAATATTTTCACGGTAACTAAAATATTTTTTTTGTGCACCCTAGTGTACAGGGTGGGTCAAATTCAACGATTTTAAAGGGAAAATATTGGTGTCTGGAGCTCAATTTTTATCTAAAACAAGATGGTGAAAACCGCACTCGATATCTGTTGTCGTTTATGAGTTACGGAGTGTTTTTCAAAAATGTACATTTTAACAAATTGCTGTACCTTTTTTGCTCTGGAAAATTCTGTATTTCTGTGAAAACATTTTCAAAACACCTTTTTACGTAGAATGTAATGGTTTAAGTATAATTTTTATAAAATTAATAATTTAATAGTCATCAACAGAAAAATTGATTTTTTATTTAGGACGCCCTGTATATTTTCATTCAGTGAAAAGAAATTAAAATTACCTTTCCAAAAAATATAGCACACTTGATATTTTGTTACAGTCCCCTTCGAAATATTTGCCACTTTTGACTAATATTCTTTGGACCCCTTATTGATAATCTGCCCCTAATGGAAATGGAACTCAAAAACATATTTTTCAATATTTAGCGAGACGAGGCACCACCTCAGAACGCTGTAGTTATCAACAAATTTTCGCAGCCAATTTCGAGAATAAATGAATAGTTAACCAAGATCCCAATCGTTGGCCGTCGAGGCAACCGGACTTAGTGCCTATGAATTTTTATCTTTGCGGAAGACTAAAGGTTCTTAGTTTTATTTTTTTTTAATTGCCGTGTAATCTAAACAAGAATTAGAAGTACTTAGTGGTTATGGGAGGGTATCTCTCACCCCCACTAAGTTAATGAATTCCGAAAAAAAATGTCCAAAAACGGTCCCGTCTGTCCATAACAGAAGACGGTCAACATGTCGAACACCTGTAGCAAAATCTCATGTCTTGGTCTGCTATTAATTTTTATTGTTAATAGATATAGGTTAAATGTATTGATGTTGTTAAATATAGTTTAAATTGTTATAAGATTTTGCATTTCACATTGCAAACATTATTTTGGGTTTAATTGCTGCTCATAGCTAGAATTTTTTTGCATACAGCCGGCGGCGTTTAAAGCCTACTTATCCAAAGTGGGCGAATTTTTATAAACTCTATATCTCGAAGAGGAATCGAGCAAAATATCAAGTGTGCTATATTTTCGGAAAGGTAATTTTAAATTATTTTCAATGAATTATAAATATACAGGGTGTCCCATATAAAAAAAAATTCTTAATTGAGTTGATAATTCTTAAATTACTAACTTTGAAAAAATTATACTTAAACCATTAAATTCTGCGTAAAAAGGTGCTTTGGAAATGTTTTCACAAAAATACAACATTTTCCATAGCAAAAAAGTTACAGAGATTTGTTAAATATGCACATTTCTGAAAAACATCCCGTAAGTCCGAAACGGTAACAGATATCGGTGTGCGGTTTCATCATGGTTGTAATAAAAATTGAGCTCCAGACACTGATATTATTTTTCGTTTATCTCCTATAGAAAAAGGTGTTTCCCTTCCAATTTCACGCACCCTGTACACCCTTCCACGGTTGTGATTAGGCCTCCGTGCCCTTCACAGTCGAGAAGCTTTTCTCTCCATTCCATTTCCTCCACCTCTTTAAATTGTTCAGATATACCAATTACTGAAATAATATTTCTCAAAATCTATTGAAAGAGCAAACATCTCAGCAGTCTTAGTCACGCCTTGCAAATTTAATTGTTGAAATTTTAAAACATTGTCTTTCTCAACATTAGTTATCTCAGTAACAACAGTTTTGATCATCACAAAAGCTTGGGTTGCTAGCTAACTTTGCAATCTTTTTTAGATCTTTTTCTATACATTTGTCTTTTTCTATCTATTTGTTTAGATTCTTTACATTTTTTTGTTAGTTTGAGCTGTGACTCAAGTGAGCAATACTATAAAAATATACTTGCTATTAAGTTGTCTTATCGTATATATATATACTCTTGCCTTGTCTCATTATTACCCCTATTGTGTGTCTCAAATTTACCCCTCCCAAAAATAGCTTCTCATACCAACAGGACTTAATTTAAACGGACATGCCTTTCTATACCATATACCGTAACCTATCTACACACGTACGCATGCAGACGACTGGAGTCGGAACCATAGAATAATTAACTGAAGTCGGAACGCTTACTTAGGTTAGGTTAGGTTAGGAACTTAGGTTAGGTTAGGTTGCTGGGGTTTGGGATCATGTTTGATCCCTCTCTCGGGGTCTTGGGCCCATTGCGATACCTCTGTAGTATTGTACCAAACCTTCCTCTCATTCTTTCTTTGCGTTAAAGCACTTCCAGCTCTTTGCAAAGTTCGCGATGTCGCTAATGTTGGCTTCTGCTGCTTCCTCTAGTCCCTCCAAAAAACCTTGCCCTAAAGTTTTAAAGCGTCGGTATTCCAGTGCCAGACAGTGGCACAGCAGGAGGTGCTCTATGGTTTCTTCTTGCTCTCAGCATTCTCTGCAGTAATCGTCGTTGAAAACTTTCCATCTCACGAGGTTTGCCCCCGTGGGGCAGTTTCCAGTGACGACACCTACAATTATGCGTACCAGGTCGTTTTTGGAAGGAACGCTTACTACTTCATACTGATGTCCCTGACAAAACTGTTGTTGTCAGTTTTCAAAAGTTTTAAACCTCAAAACGTGAAAATGGTTTTGTAATTTCAGTTTCTCCATGATTCATCAAACACATATTAAACAAGTTATGGGGATGGTGTGTTAACAATGAATGTTAAATGTTCCTAACAAGAAAACTGACTGAATATAAGTTTTCAATAATTTTATTTGAATGTCTTATTCTTTACCAAAATATGACGTGTCTCATTTTTACATCACTTAACCATAAAGTATTTTATTTAACGTGTTCTTTTTGCTGCTAAGGCTAATTTGGGCGGAATTGCCGTTAGTTCAGAAATTATTCAGAAAAAAAATGATATAAAAATGAAACTTTTCCACCTTGTATTCCCGAAACGCAGCATTTTAGGATGTAAATTTATACATACAATATAAATTTATTAGTTATTTCTATCTCCAAATATATTGCTGAATTTCTCGAATACAATTCGAACCACCCTGTATATTGTTTCTAAAGAATGAGCAGAAAGGTATTTTTATTTACAGGAACTAGTTGCTCTTCAGTTGTATGGATCAATGCAGATGATGTGCAAGTTACCAAAATAACATTTGAGAATCCATCATCAGCTGCTCAAGCTGTGGCTGTTCAAACCAACGGAAAAAATATCCATTTTGAAGATGTTCAATTTCTCGGCTTCCAGGTAATTCAACAACTTATTAAATTCAAGCTAATTTTTAATCAAAACAATTAAACACAGGTTAAGTGCTTTGTTTATTATTATCATTATTGTATGTTATCATTTAGATCTATTTAAGAAAAACATTGAAGAAAACTTGAATTCAATTTTTATTTACAATCATGCATTTATAATTATTAAGTAAACAAGATACTTGAATATAATTAAATATAATTTAAATTTACGTGAGTGATTAATATTAGTTTATATTTATATTAGTTTAAATTTATCTTTTTTCCCACATTATTATAGCATGCCTGTGTAATCAGAATTTACATTGAGAAACAATTACTTAAAATTATGGAATAATATAATTAATAATAAATGATACTAACATGTTTTCAATAACTAAGATTATTCAACGAAATAAAGGACAATTTGGATAGTTGATATCCAAAAATGTACATAAAAAGAACACGATAGAACAACGGTCAATGTCATACAATCTCTCGTTGAGTAGACTTTAAATATTAATCTAGTACTTTGTTTCATTTTAATTTTCAGTTTTTTTCAGTTTAAACACATAAGTAGTAGATTAAACACAAAATTTACAAGAATGAAAACCCAGAAAAAATCCAGTGGTTCTCAAAATTTATGCAAAAAATCATTTTTTTTTAATTTTCAACGTGAATTATCTCGGTTATTTTGGACTTATTTGAGAAACGGTAAAGAGAAAATATGTTACTTTTATCGAGATCTACCAGTCCTGAAAATATTTACACTTATTTAAGAGTCACCCTGTATAATAATTGTTATTAGAAAATATTCGTACTAGAACTATTTTCAACTAATGAATGATTTCAATAAATTAGCAAATAAATTGGAGTAAAAAATGTTAATTTACGAATAAGATCCAAATAAAACATACAAAATAGATTGCTCTGTAAAATACAACGCCATACAAAAGCATACCACAAAAAGGCTTAAATTATAAAGGATACCGATATAGACGAAAAAATATTAGTATTGGCAAAAGCAGAGAGTTTTAAGCCCCGTACACTTGCACTTTGCACTAATTGGAATTTTTCTGATAAAAGCTCGCCAGGCTAAAGAAACCACCCATCTGACTACCGGTTTCATGGTTTCGTACCCCACAGAAAAAGCACGTTAAGTACATCTGCAGTACTTGTTTGTGGTAGCACTTGATGGATGGTTTCTATAACTTATGTAGAATGTAGAATGTTTAGGAAGGGGGTTAATCAACGCAACCTTACGGTTCTATTGTGTGTTCCCTTTTTGGGGGTTATAACGGTATTAAATGGGATGTAGAATGTAGAATGTTTACGAAGGGAGTTATCACCGCGACCTTACAGATCTATTGTGTGTTCCCCTTTTTTAAGTTCTAATACTATAACTATAACGAGTTATAACTCATCATACAGTCTCAAGGATTTAACAAAAGCCAGTATAAGACGGCTCCACAGAGTGCAGCTCTCAATCTCCGACATTAGCTGTACCAAAGTTTATGGCACGAACGTTTGTCGTCTCGGCGCACTCAGTGAAAAGGTGTTCCGGTGTTTTCTCATTTTCCCCACAGAACCCGCATTTGCCGTTGTTTCTCAGCTTCAATCTGCTAAGATGTTTGGAAATCCAGATAATACTTATAGCTGATAGTTACTAAAGCACAACAACTCCATTAGTTTTTATCCATTATACTAAGGATAAGTCAAAAATTCGGTATGAGTAATCAACAAAAAAAAGAATATTTTATAATCAAACCAACTATTTTCAAATTTTTTTCTTTTTTTCAGGATACTCTATATTTACATTCAGGTAAAGCCTACTTCAACAATGTCATCGTAAAAGGAGACGTTGATTTTATTTTTGGCGCTGCGACTGCAATCTTCAAGAACTCGCAATTGATTGGCCGTGGTGACAGGCCACGTACTAGCGGTCTGATTTTTGCACCAAGCACAGATCCTAATAACAAATATGGATTCCTAGTTATCAATTCTCTAATTTCTGCAGACAGCAATATCGAACAGCGCCACGGATTGTCTTTGGCTAGAGCGTGGGATTCAGGAGTGAGCTCAGGTAAATATTACTAATATATGTAAGTATATTACTAAAATTATATATACTAATACATTATTTATATTAGAATAAATTAGAGAAATATATTTGGGGTTCGTACAGAAACTTAACTAAAATTACACAAATGGAGCCCTCCTCCTAGGTGCCTTCTCTGTTGAGGTTGGCGATTAATATGGCGTATGACTCTCTGTCCAAAGCTTGGTGAATAGGAGTGTTTCCGTCGGTGTGCGTTCAATCTCTTATGTTACGTAGCCATGATTTCTTTTTCCTCCCTATGCTACGTTTTCCACCGATTTTTCCTTCTATTATGAGCTGTATTTCTTCATATTCTGAGTGCCGCACTATATTTTCAAGGTAGGAAGTCTTTTTGATTTTAATTGTGCCTGTTAGGTGTGCATGAGTTTTCATTCTGTTTAAAACTTCACAATTTGTTGTTCTGGAGGTCCAAATTATCCTCAGCATCCCACGATACATCCACATTTCAAACGCATTAAGGCGTTTGATGTCTTCTTGTTTTAGCGTTCCTGTTTCGCATCCATATTGAAGTAGGTGCCATATATAGTATTTTAATGTTCTTAGCCTCGTTGGTATTCTAGCTATTCTCGGATGGCATAAGAACTTCCGCATGTTGAAGAAACCAGCCCTAGCTATTTCAATCCTTCTTCTGATTTCCTTAGAGTGGTTTAGCTGGCTGTTTAATTCCCTGCCCAAGTAAATATATCTCTGCGTGGTTTCGAGATGGACGCCGTTTACCATTATGTCAGTATTTTCATTGTCTTGCGGATGCCTGTCGAAAATCATAGTTTTTGTCTTAACGGTGTTCTCTAGACACATGCTGATACTTTCTTCTGTCAGTTTGACAATTAGGGTTTACAGCTGGTCTTCGGATTCTGCTAATACGACGGTGTCGTCCGCGTATCTTATATTGTTTATAATTTTTCCATTTATTTTAACCCCTTCTGGACAATGTTGAAGAGATTTTCGGATTATATATTCGGCATAAACGTTAAACAATAATGGTGACAATATGCATCCCCGTTTAACACCTCTTTTTATGTCTACGTATCTTGTATTTCCTTTTTCTGTTCTGACACAACCTTTGTGATTCCAGTACGTGTTCCTTATAATGATAATATCTCTCTCATCCAAGCCTACTTCAGTGAGAACTTCTAGTAATTTTTCGTACTGTATTCGATCGAAGGCTTTTTTATAGTCAACGTAACATACGTACAGCTTCCTTTGGACTTCCATGTACCTCTCTTCAATTAACGTTAAACTCAGGATGGATTCTCTTGTTCCTGTCCCCCTTCTAAAACCGTATTGTGATCTAGTAAGAAAATTATCACATTTGCTGTATACTCTATTGAATATTATTCGCATAAATATTTTCGCTGCGTGGCTCATCAGACATATTGTTCTGCGGTCTTCGCATTTCTTCGCTATATTCTTTTTGTGTAAGGCTATGAAGGTAGATGTTACCCAGTCTTCGGGGATTGTTCCGGTTTCATATACTTCATTGAAAAATTGGGTCAGTATTTTGATGGCATTATCGATTATGTGTTTGAAGTGCTCTGCTGTTATTTGATCTTTGCCCGGTGCTTTATTGCTTTTCGTTTCTCTGATTGCTTTGATGACTTCATCTTTCAATATGGGTAGATGGTCTCCTTTCTCTATTTTTGGATATTCCTGTTTTCTTCTCGCATCTCCGAACAATTCTTTCAAATAGTTCTTCCATATAACCTATTGTTTACTGGGGTCCACTTCTATCACGTTATTTTCTTTTGCGATGGCTGACAGAGTCCTTGGGTTTCCAAAGGCCTGTGAATTCTTTGATTTTTGTGTGTAGTTCTCTCTCTTTGTGTTGAACCTGCAGTTGTTCTACTTCAGCGCATTTGGTTTGGAGCCAGTTCTCTTTTGCACTTGTAATCTGTCTCTAGATCTCCTTGTCTAACCTTTTGTACTGGTCTTCACATTTATTCTTAACTTTGCGCCTTTCGTCCATTGCTTCTATTATTTCCTTTGTCATCCAGGGCTTTATCAATTTTCGGTCTTCCTTTCCTGTTATCTGTTCGCTTGCTTCGCGGAATATGTCTTTGAATTTTGACAATGTTTGTTCCATGTTATCTTTGATAGTTGTATTATGTTGTATTGTATTTTCCTTCTCTAACTGTTTGTCGACTTTCGCCCGTAAAGATCTTTTTTATTATAATCTGCGGATGCCCAGGTTATTATTGGTATTGGTTTTGGTTGTAGAATTTTCTTTAGTTTAGATCTCATGGTGGCTACCACGGGGTTATGATCGTAATTTATGTCACATTCAGGGTATTCTAAGACTAAGAATACCCTGAATGTGACATAAATTGCGATCATAACCCCGTGGTTTGGTTTGGCGTTCACAATACTGTGGCGAATCTTTTGTTGATGGTTATGTAGTTTATTTGATTTCTGACAGGTTTGTCTTTGCAGTCCTGGGGAGATTTCCAGGTGTACAGTCGTCTTTTAGGTAGTTTAAACCACAAATGGAGCACAATACGCCAAATCATAAAGTTTTTTTTTGAAGGTGATAGACAATATTTTAGTCTTCAAACTAAAAGAATTACTACCATTGACTTTATGCATTTTAACTTACCTAATGTTTCGGTCAGATGTGTCACTGACTGTTATCAAGTGTAAACTAATCTAAATCCCTAAAACTACTGAACTGATACTGCAGCCAGAGAGTCAAATTTAGGTGCAGAAAAAATTGGGAAAAAATTACACTAAGAACGCCCGCATGGTGCGTTTTATAAGTGGTTGCTATACCATGGACAATGCTGTTTTTATAATATACTAGTTTTTTCCCGCGACTACTTTCGCGTTACCGTTGGTTACACCTCAAATCGTTCATGCATTGATTTAAATTATTGTTTAACTTTTTATAGTTAGAGCTAGTGAGCCTTATAAATGCATTTAATCTATTTTTTTAAGAGTTTTAGAGCTACTCGAATTTCATATGAAAGTTAGCAATTGTCGATTTTCTGGGTATTATACAGAGCGAGTCTTAAATAAGTGCAAATATTTTCAGGGCTGGTAGATCTCGATAAAAGAAACATCTTTTCTCTTTACCGTTTTTCAAATAACTACAAAATAACCGAGTTATTTTACTTTAAAAATTTTCAGAAAATATATTTTTTGCATAAATTTTGAGAACCATTGGAGCTTTTCGGGTTTTTCTGTCAGGTAAATTTACTATGTTGCTATAATTATGGTTTTAAACTAAAAACTAAAAAAAACAAAAGTTTTCCAAAAAATTCCAAATTTAAAAAAAAAAATCGCGAAAAAAGTTATTGTCGTGTTTCTGGGATCAAAATATACTACTGCTAAAAATAATTGCGCTTATTTAAGACTCGCCTTGGAGGGTATCCATAAAAATCGATTTTGTTATGACTCATTACACATTTTTTACTTAAAATTTATAAAAAGCCGTGAATATGCCAATTTCAAGTGCATTTTTATTCGTTTATTTTCATATTAATAATATAAGATTTATTTATTTATATTCATATTAATAATATAAGATTATTATGTATTTAAAAAAATCCGAAAAATTAAAAACCGTTTTTTTATTTTTTTATCGCCTGTATATGACTTTATGACACACTTTGTATACCAAAAATAAAACTTCTGATTAGTCCAGTCTGAAATAAATAATCTTAATAATTCTAGAAGTTATCGAAATCAAAGTATTTCAAAGAAGTTCAATTTTGGTCCCAAAATGATTTTGAAATCTTACTTTTTAACACTTTTTTCCAAAATTTTCTAACTACTTCCATTGACTGAAACTAATTATGCATGGTTGGATAGAGGGTGGATGGCGCTCTTCCATGGTGGTTTTTTATTTCTTAATTATGTATAGGGTGTTTTAGAAATCGAACCAAGTCGCAATTTTGCAAAATCTGAAAAAAGAAAATCTCTCCAAAATAATAAATAGTGAAATGACTATTTACCCTCTAGATAGAACCCTACCTATGGCCCCATATAAACTGTATTACTAAAATAAATAGTTTTGACATATGAAGTTTTCAATTGTCGCTTTTCTTTATAATAATCTCTTGATTTTTTTTATAATTTCCTAGGTGTTATAGTAATGCATTTTCGTACAGCCAAACTTTATGGGTATAATTTTCATAAATTCGCTTTATCCAAATAATTAACTCATAATTTTTAAATTATACTTTGTGCCAATTTTGTAACTTTATCCATTTGGTTGATGAATTTCAAGATTCTTTTCTAATTCTTTTTATAGGATTTTATTCTACCCAGATAGTAAGGAATTTTTATACAACAAATTGTTCCGACATAATTATCTCTAAAAACTTGATATATAATCTAACTGACATACCACTGACAATGACAAATAATTTATTTCTGGAGGTATTGTATGTAGGTATCTTTCAGGTATATTTTAGTATTTAGTCATTTTACACAAATAAACAGCCATTAAACAATATAAAAATACTTCATAACAAATCTAGACATATATACCTTTCATTTAAAAAAAGAATCATCAAGATCGGTGAAGCGGTTTCGGCGGGATGGATGTAACAACAAAAACTCTTTGAGCTTTTATATATGTATGGATGGATTATTTTTTTCATTTATTGGTTAATCATGCAATATCTGCTAATGAATTTGTATAAATGATTTAACTTATCAAATAATCTTAAGCGGAACCAATTCAAATCAATTTATGAAGTATCTGGGAATAAATTATTAAAATTGAGAAATTCTTGATAAGTATAATTTATTAGTTAACCAGGTGTTCATAATTAAAATTATATGTAATAGGCAAATAGATAAAATAAAATCTAAATAATATGTAATATGTATTGTGAAAATGAAGTAAAAATCGTCTAGAAAGATAGGCTACTTACTACATAGTCCTCGAGAAGAAATTGCTATCAGGGAAATGTTTATTCTGAACTACGTATGCAGAAATTAGTAAATGACTTTTCTCCTTT